TAGACGAGGGTGTACTTGATCACACTCGACCTAAACCCTACTTTGCACCTGTGCTTCTTTATGAGATGTGCATATATGAATTATGTTGGTGTTGAACCCTTGAACTTGTAGTTCGGGGTGACTTTTGTGGGGCCCGATCTCAAGATCTAGACGGACTATTCAAACCAGTCGGGGCTTGGTCAAAACCAGTCCAACCTAGTCTTAAGGTCACCAAGTTTGTGGTTTTGTAAACCAAATTTGTGAACCGAGCTTGTGAGTCAAGTTCAACGTCGTTTAGTTTGCTCGAGCCATTTCGCGAGGTGACTAGCCAGTTAGGGTGATAAGGTGTTAGGTGGGAGTACAAGTGGAGTTCTACGGACCCTTACCGGTGATCGATGGAGCGTCGACGGAAGGTCACACTTGGCACATGACATGGCTTTGGAGCCAATCTGTATCCTTAACTTGTGTTGTTACTTTTATATTTTCGATTGGACATCTTTGGGACGTAATTGTTCGTCTTAATGTAAAATCTCCGTTTTACCCCTGTATACTTACTAAGTATATAGCTTACCTCTTTCCCTTTATTTTCCTTAACAGGGGCCGACGCGGGGAACTTTTGGCACTATCACTAGAATAGTTAGGCTTGATTTGTAATGGCCGGACAACTAAGATGCGTCTTCTTGTTTTGGTGATCTGCATAAGCACCCCTCTTTGGGTCTACTTTGAATATTAGCATAGGATAATGTAGTAGTCTGGATAACTCCTTTTGCGGATGTAACTAGAACTCTTTTGGGGTTGTATATATTATGAATAGTATGCTTTTGGTTTATCTAGTTTTTATTGCTTTGTGTTTTTGAGTCCTGGCGCGAATTAGACAGACGTTCCACCGATACCCTCGGATTCGCCTTTGGGAGAAGTGGAGGCATCACAAGTGGTATTAAAGCGCCTAGTTTAGAAGACTTGGGCAATTGGGACATACGTGATAGGCATTAGGCATTATGAATAGTATATTTTAAGTTGAAATGCTGAAGAACTGACTAAATAAGTATTGTAGGTATGGAGGTCGGGGAACCTAGTGGATCTGGACTAGGGCCAAGACCTCCGAGTGCAGGGCGCCCGATGAACCAGGTGTTACGTCGGCGTGTGCTTCGATTCCAAAGGAGGCCTAGGGGGTCGTATATGCTGTATTCACCTTTTGGTCGGCAGAATCGGCCATGTGAGTACCGACACACGTTTGGCTACCCAGACGAGGTCGTCCTGGCGGTGGACGACGAGCAACGTCGCCTGGGGAATGCGGCCGATCGATTGGCTAGACAGCTGGAGGAGGCCAGGGAGGTGGCCCACGGTCAGGCTCTGCGCATTAGAGAGTTGGAGCAGGGCCTCAGAGATGAGGAGGAGAGGATGGACGCTTTTCGTCATCAGTTCCACGACACACACCAGCACCTCTTCGCTATGAAGGGGCAGCTGAGGGAGAGAGTTCGGGGGATCATGCTGGACTGTAAGATCCTGTTAGATGTGGCCGTGAAGGCACCACCACGAGCTATCGGTTCGGAGCCGATGGATGAGGTGGACACTCTAGACTCTGTTGGGGATTGGGGCCCTAGGAGAGGCGCGTAAGGCCGCTGTTTGACTTTTCTCTGACATGTTTTTGTTATAACCAATATGGCTGGTTTCTTTTGTTATCTGGTGGTTGACTAGATTTTTGGAGCCGAAGTGCTCATGTATTTAGTGGGTTTTGTACCGACCGGATGTCGGATAACTTGCATATCTTTTGGCGTGACCTTCTAAATATATTTATATATTTGAGTATAATCTTTTGCGTGTCTTTTATGCCTATGCCTTGTGTTCTTTATTTTGTTCATATTTTGAAGAATAAATACACATTATGTCTCGATTTATAGACTTTTGAACCAAATGGACTCCGGTGGTCGAGGTAGAGGTAGAGGGCGAGGACGAGGCCCTGAAGAAGAAAATGAGAATGAACCTGATCAGGTAGCCACTACCATCCAGCGAATGGCCGACCTGTTGGAACGAATGGCTAACCAACAGGGTCAGGGCCAGGGGAGTAATGTCGGAAACCCTGGAAATAATGCGGGTAATTGAGAGGAAGAGGACCATGCTTTAGAACGGTTCCAAAAGTTTGCACCCCCGAAATTTATAGGTGGACCTAACCCTGACTTAGCAGAGGGTTGGCTGGACCGCATGTTGGATATATTTGCCGCGCTTGGGTATTCAGAGGAGCGGCAGATATCTTTTTCTGTTTTTCAATTTGAGGGGACTGCCCGAGCTTGGTGGAATGTGATTAAGGCCAAGTGGGAGCGGGAACAGACCCCTTGGACGTGGGTCAACTTTACACGGGAATTTAATGAGAAATATTTGTCACCTATTGTACAAGAGAGGCGGGAGGATGACTTTATCCGCATGCGCCAAGGGGCATCCAGTGTGGCGGAGTACGAAACTCAGTTTACGAAACTCTCTCGCTTCGCTCCGGATCTGGTGCAAACGGAGCAAAAGCGAATCCGTCATTTCGTTCAGGGCTTAAATGTGGATATCCAGGAGGTATTTGCAGCTGCTCAGTTGGATATATTAAGCCAGGCACTAGAAAAAATACAGAGAATTGAGACAGTTATGGGACAAGTGAAAGCCTTCCATGACCGAAAAGGAGGCAACCTAGCACGAGAAACTTCGCTGCCGGACAGAGCTCGCGAAATGAGCCACCCTCTAAGATGGGTCGAGGGACGGGTGGTCCATAACCCGCAGAAATCCCAAATCGGGGTACTTTTGGAAGAAGTCAGGTAGGGCAAGGGCCCCAGAGGGGTGCCCAGTGTGGAGGGTCAACTACAGGAATTAAGCAGACCTGTAGTTTCTGTGGGGGCAATTACACTGCCGATAATTGTTGGAAAAACAGTTCGATATGAAAATGCTTTAAATGTGGCAGTACGGAACATCTGATTGCTTAATGCCCTAAAATGCAGAATGAGGGACCTAAGCCACCGACAGAATGGACCACAATTAAGCCTACAAACGCAGGGGGAAATCGGCCCAAAGTACCGGCCAGAGTATTTGCAATGGGTCAACAAGAGGTGACTGACCCTTCGACAGTCATCGATGGTACGCTCTCTCTTTTTCGGCGTACTGCAAGTGTTTTAATTGACCCTGGTGCCACGTACTCTTTTCTAAATTCTACATTTATGACTCATGTAGATGTTAAACCTGAAAAACTACCGTATGATTTAGAAATAAAAATCCCTATTACCAATAAGAGTTTAATTGCCAATGTGGTCTACAAGGGGTGCGAGGTACGGATAGGAGAACGGAAATTGTTGGTGGACCCTATTGAGTTAGCTCTTAAGGGATACGATATCATTTTAGGGATGGACTGGTTGGCCAAATATCATGCACGGTTGAATTGCCGTACTAAGAAGGTTAACTTTCACATACCGGGTGAACCTACATTATAATTAGATGTTAGAGGAAAGTTAATTTTCTCTACTCTTATTTCTGGGATTCGGGCTCGAAAATTACTATACAATGGTGCACGAGGTTATTTGGCGATGTTAATGAATGCTCCGGTGGATCAGCTGAAGATAGAAAATGTACCGGTGGTATGTGAATTTCCTGAGATATTTTTCGAAAAATTGACATTACTACCCCCAGAGAGGGAAGTAGAATTTAAGATTGATTTGCATCCTGGAGCAGAGCCAATATCAAAAACTCCTTATCGTATGGCTCCTGCAGAAGTTAAGGAGTTGAAAACACAGTTACAAGAATTGCTGGATTGAGGATATATACAAGAAAGCGAATCGCCTTGGGGAGCTCCGGTATTGTTTGTGAAGAAAAAAGATGGAGGACTACGAATGTGTATTGACTACCGAGGGTTGAATAATCTAACCATTAAGAATAAATATCCTCTGCCACTTATTGATGAGTTGTTTGATCAACTGCAAGGCGCAGTTGTATTTTCTAAGTTGGATTTTAGGCAAGGATATTACCAGTTTAGGATACGAAGGGAAGATGTACCCAAGACCGCCTTTAATTCGTGGTATGGACATTTTGAATTTGTAGTCAAGCCCTTCGGATTGACAAACGCTCCAGCCGCGTTCTTGGATCTCATGCACCGCGTCTTTAACCATATCTAGACCAATTTGTTGTGGTTATGATGATATTTTGGTCTATTTTAAGACTTGTGAGGACCATGAACAACACTTGAGGCTAGTATTACAGACTCTTAAGGACCACCAATTATATGCCAAGTTTAGTAAATATGAGTTTTGGTTGGAGAAAGTATCCTTTTTAGACCACGTTATTTCAAAAGATGGTATAGCGGTGAACCCCGCTAAGCTAAAAGCGATCACCGAATGGAAACGACCATAAAGCCCAACGGAAGTTAGGAGTTTCTTAGAGTTGGCGGGATATTATCGCCGCTTTATCAAGCATTTTTCCAAGATAGCTGGACCTCTAACGGATTTGACCAAAATTCGTAATCAATTTGTCTGGACTTCAAAGTGTGAGGCCAGTTTTCAAGAGTTGAAAGGGCGATTAACTTCCGCACCCATTTTGACATTGCCCAACGGAAAGGACAATTTTGTGGTATATATAGATGCATCTCGGATGGGTTTAGGCTGTGTACTTATGCAGAATGGGCAGGTGATATCGTACGCATCTCGAAAGTTAAAACCTCATGAGCAAAACTACCCCACCCATGATTTGGAATTAGCAGCTGTAGTTTTTGCTCTTCGAAAGTGGCATCATTATCTGTATGGGATAACTTTTGAGGTATTCACCGACCATAAGAGTTTCAAGTATTTATTTTCGCAAAAAGAGTTGAATTTGAGGCAACGTCGGTGGATGAAATTCCTAGATGATTAGGGTTGCACCATTAAGTATCATCCAGGGAAAGCTAATGTAGTAGCTGTAAATCTCAGGTGTCCAGTTTGCAGGTAAAGGAGTGGGTGTTATTAGAGAAAATTGGGGAATGGAATCCTTAACTTAAGTCGTCAGCAGTGCTTTTTAGCAATATTATGATAACTTCTACTCTAATATCTCGTATAAAAGAAGCTCAGAAGGATGATTTTCAAGTGCAAAAATGGAAGGAAAAAGTTGAAAAAGGGACAATACCTGACTTTAATATGAATTCTGATGGGATATTGAGGTATCGCAATCGATTGGTTGTACCACAGGATAAAGACATTAAAAGGGAGATATTGGAAGAATCTCACCGATCACAATATACTGTACATCTCGATACGACAAAGATGTACCAAGATTTGAAAAAGTTATACTGGTGGGATGGTATGAAGAAGGAGGTAGCTCAGTTTGTACAAACATGTCTAACCTGTCAGCAGATTAAAGCTGAGCATCGAAAACCCTAGGGTTACCCAGCCCTTAGAAGTGCCAAAATGGAAGTGGGAAAACATTACGATGGATTTTGTTTCCGGATTACCACGGACACAAAAAAGACATTATGCCATATGGATAATTGTGGACCGTTTAACTAAATCAGCTCATTTCCTTCCTGTGAACATGAAGTACTCCCTAGAAAAACTAGCTCGGCTGTATCTAGATGAAATTATACGACTACATGGAGGACCGGTGAGTATTATCTCGGACAGAGATCCTCGTTTCGTGTCACGATTCTGGCAAAAGATGCAAGAAACTATGGGCTCTAAACTTCACTTAAGTACAGCTTACCATCCTCAGATAGATGGACAATCGGAGAGAACTATACAAACTCTTAAGGACATGCTTCGATCATGTGTTATGAATTTTGGAGGGAACTGGAGCTAACACCTCACCTTGATCGAGTTTGCCTACAATAACAGCTATCATTCCACCATACAAATGGCACCGTATGAAGACTTATACGGGAGCAAGTGCCGCTCACCTATCTTTTGGGATGAAGTAGGTGAGAGGAAAGTATTGGATTCGACCACAGTACCATGGATTGAAGAAGCAATAGAAAAGGTCAAAATCATTCACCAGAAAATACAAACAGCTCAGAGCCGGCAGAAGAGTTATGCCGATCATCGAGGAAAAGACCTGAAATTTGAGGTGGGAGGCATGGTGTTCTAAAAAGTTATACCACTAAGGGGAACTATTTCAGCAAGAAAAGGCAAGAAGTTGAAACCCCGATACATAGGACCGTATAAGATTCAACGACGAGTTGGGGTGGTGGCATATCAACTGGAACTACCGATCAGTATATCCCGAATTCACAATGTCTTCCATGTTTCCTTACTTAAGAACTACCATCCCGACCCCACTCACGTTCTACACTCTGAGGACGTGGAGTTAGATGAAACCCTCACCTATAAAGAACAACCCGTACAGATTTTGGATCGAAAGGTGAAAGAACTAAAGAATAAACGAATATCTTTGGTGAAGATTTTATGGAGAAATCATGATGTGGAGGAAGCCACCTGGGAAGTGGAGGAAGACATGCAAAAGAAGTATCATTCTCTGTTCACGAACAAAGATATTAATTTCGAGGACGAAATTGCTCTAAGAGGAGGAGGTTGTGAGACCTCGGTTAGTCATTAATTTCGATATTATGTGATATTAAGAGCATTTTGTTCTATTTTGTACGAATTTATTAGAAAATCGTACTTTGGATTATTTATAAAAAAAACCTTAATATTACACTAGAAATCTATGAAGTGCATGTCCAATGAAGTTTTCTTAAAGTTAAATATGTCAAAATCAATGTAAGACAAATTTTTCGAAAAACACAAATAAAGTTAGGAATTTATACATGATATTATAAAAATTTTAGGCCTTAGAGAGTAATTAAATTAAAACTAAAAGACCAAACTAACCTAAAATTCTAGACTAATTACCATGAAGCCATAGCTTGAGCTATCAGAATTTCACAAAAACAATTGGAACCGAATGGAAGCCTGGCAACTAGAAATTTCTTTAAGCGGTGGAAGGATTGAAAACTTAGCTGGGAGTTGGGGCGGAGAATAACCTTCCTAGGACAGCTGTCAGAAAGGGAATATACTATCAAATGTGCTGAGTAAGCACTGACCGAGTGAGAGAGCAGTTGAAAGGCATGAAACTAGCGGGCTAAGAGCAAAGAAAACTTCCATTTCTCTTCTTACCAAGCTAATATTAAGAGTAGGCTAACACTGAGAGTAAACAAAGACCTGAGAAAGTGTGAGCTGGAGTGAATAATTCTAACCAAGGCTAAGGAGATTACTGCAGGGAATCAGGATCAGAAGTTCTAGCAGCTTGCGACAAGAAACCTTAGGGAAGAAAGGTAACCTTCTTCACTATAACTCACTGTTTAGCTAGTTTCGTTAGCTAAGCTTGAGCTGCAAGTAGAGCTAGCTAAGAACTTGGTTCTGGTGCGAGAAACGTATGCGGAAATGATGAAATTTCAGATGTTTTACCTGCCATAACTTCATGCTTATACGGTAAAAAATGAATGAATGAATAACCTGTAGGTTAAGTTCAGTAGGAAAAGATTTTGTTATGTAAATCAAGTAACCAAGTGACTAACCTCTGTAGGAGCTATAGAAACCTGTAAAAGTTGGTTTAATTAGTTAAACCTGAGCTTTTATACGATGAGTTTAGTTACGAAATCAGTTCTGGTTCAAGAAACATTGTAACTAAGAGCAGAAATGAGCTATGGTTTTGTTTAGCTCTTGAAAATAGTCTCAAGTTTTGTTTAGTTCTTGAGTCATACCTTACATGCTAGCTGGAACCTGAGATTGAAGGGAACCCTAACGAACTAACCAATAAAATTTTGTTGCTAGATGCATGCAAAAGCATGCAAATCTGATGCATGCACGGTTGCACTTGATTTGCAGATGCACCAGATTTGTAGCAAGCTGCCGAAACGAAACCGAACCCAGTTGTTTTCTTTTTCTTTGAATCCTGGTCAAGAACGACCTTGTGTAGCTAAGAATAACCTACAACAAACAAGGTTAAATCAAGTAGAAAACTTGCATGAGAACCATAGCAACGGACCATGCGTTTGCGACGTGCGAAACCGGTTAAACTAGAAAACAAGGCAGCCCAGAATCCGAACTTTGGCTACATTTTTCTTTTTGCTACGTACTGATTCAGGGTTTGTCCAAAACATGAAAGTTGTAGAATCTTAAGTGGTTGTTGTTCTTGCAAAATTTCAGGGCAAACGGGTCTGTGTAGCCTGAGTTTTGGCCAAAACCCTCGCTTCTATTCTAAACTCTGAATTGTGCTACGTTTCTTGATTTTGCTTCTGCCCGTGCTCAGTTCACATTAATAATGAAGGAACTAGATGTTGAGATCTTCATAAGACTTGTAGAACTTTGTCTCAGCTTCACAACGGTATAAAGTACATCCAAATCCGAGTTCTGTAGCTCTAGTTATACCCAAAACAAGATTGGCTGTCAGAACTGCCGTTGAAGTTGGACAGTTCTGACAGGAACTTTGGACCCATTTTTCCCTATGCTCTGTACTAATTCAGAGTTTGGTGAAAACACAAAAGTTATAGCCTTATAAATGAGCTTTCCAACGCCTCTGGAATTTCTTGATTCTGATCTCTGAGTTATGAGTTATAGTCGTTCAAACAGGGCCTACTTGGTAACCTAAATTGAAACTGCTGGGACTGTCTTGTGCATTTTTGTCCCAATTCCATTGAGATCTGACTTGAGGTGTCTTCATTAAAGTTGTAGCCTTTCTTCTTAGCTTCACAACGATACCTTATGCACTTCAATCCAATAACCGTAGCCTGAAATTTGATCAAAACAGTTCTAGGTGCCAAATCTGCCCGTTTTCGTTTGTCGGCCGTTTCCGTTTTCGTTTGCCGTTTCCGTGCGTGCATGTGCCCGTTTTGCCGTTTTGCTTGATTTATGAATTTTAGTAGTCGTTTGTGTAGTAATTTGGTGCAATCTTTTATTTCAGACGATGACGGGCTAGACGGTTCCAGTGGGGCCTACTGGCTGTTACGTGATGTGATTTTCTCACTTTTGCTATACTTGCTCTCTGTGTAAGTATTCAGGTCATTTCTGTGTATAACTTGCTTATGTGCTTTGGTGTGGATGAGAGGGTATTTAGGCGAGGGTGTACTTGATCACATTCGACCTAAACCCTACTTTGCACCTGTGCTTCTTTATGAGATGTGTATATATGAATTATGTTGGTGTTGAACCCTTGAGCTTGTAGTTCGGGGTGACTTTTGGGGGCCCGATCTCAAGACCTAGACGGACTATTCGAGTCAGCCGGCGCTTGGTCGAAGCCAGCCCAACCTAGTCTTAAGGTTAAGTTTGTGGTTTTGTGAACAAAGTTTGTGAACCGAGTTTGTGAGTCAAGTTCAATTTCGTTTCGTTTGCTCGAGCCATTTCATGAGGTGACTAGCCAATAACGGTGATAAGGTGTTAGGTGGGAGTACAAGTGGAGTTCTACGGACCCTTACCAGTGGTCGACGGAGCGTCGACAGGAGGTCACACTTGGCACATGACCTGGCTTTGGAGCCAACCTGTATCCTTAACTTGTGTTGTTACTTTTATATTTTCAATTGGACATCTTTGTGACGTAATTGTTCGTCTTAATGTAAAATCTCCGTTTTACCCCTGTATACTTACTAAGCATATAGCTTACCCCTTTCCCTTTGCTTTTCTTAACAGGGGCCGACGCGGGGAACTTTTGGCACTATCACTAAAATAGTTAGGCTTGGTTTGTAATAGCCGGACAACTAAGATGCGTCTTCTTGTTTTGGTGATCTGTGTATGGACCCCTCTTTGGGTCTACTTTGAATAATAGCATAGGATAATGTAGTAGTCTGGATAACTCCTTTTGCGGATATAACTAGAACTCTTTTGGGGTTGTATATATTGTGAATAGTATGCTTTTGGTTTATCTTGTTTTTATTACTTTGTGTTTTTGAGTCCTGGCGCGAGCAAGGCAGGCGTTCCGCCGATACCCTCGGGTTTGCCCTTGGGAGAAGTGGGGGCGTCACAGGTGGTATCAGAGCACCTAAGTTAGAAGACTTGGGCAATTGGGACATACGTGATAGGCATTAAGCATTAGGAATATGTGATTCTAGTTAAGATGAATGGTATAATTTAAATTGAAATGCTGAAGAACTGACTAAATAAGTATTGTAGGTATGGAGGCCGGGGAACCTAGTAGATCTAGACTAGGGCCAAGACTTCCAAGTGCAGGGGACCCGATGAACCAGGTGTTACGTCGACGTGTGCTTCGATTCCAGAGGAGGCCTGGTGGGCTGTATACGTTGTATTCACCTTTTGGTCGGCAGAATCGGCCATGTGAGTGCCGACACATGTTTGGCTATCGAAACGAGGTCGTCCTAGCGGTGGACAACGAGCGACGTCGCCTAGGGAAGGCAACAGATCGTTTGGCTAGACAGCTGGAGGAGGCCAGGGAGGTGGCCCACGGTCAGGCTCTGTGCATTAGAGAATTGGAGCAGGGCCTTAGAGATGAGGAGGAGAGGACGGACGTTTTTCGTCGTCAGCTACACGACACACACCAATACCTCTTCGCAATGAAGGGGCAGCTGAGGGAGAGGGCTCGGGGGATCATGCTAGACTGTGAGGTCCTGTTAGATGTGGCCGCGGAGGCACCACCACGAGCTATAGGTCCGGAGCCGATGGATGAGATGGACACTCTAGGCTCTGTTGGGGATTAGGGCCCTAGGGGAGGTGCTTAGGGCCGCTGTTTGACTTTGCTATGAACATATGACATGTTTTTGTTATAACCAATATGACTGGTTTCTTTTGTTATCTGGTGGTTGACTAGATTTTTGGAACCGAAGTGCTCGTGTATTTAATGGGTTTTGTACCGACCGGATGTCGAATAACTTGTATATCTTTTGGTGTGACCTTGTAAATATATGTATATATTTGAGTATAATCTTTTGCGTGTCTTTTATGCCTATGCCTTGTGTTCTTTATTTTGTTCATATTTTGAAGAATAAATACATATTATGTCTCGATTTATAGACTTTTGAACCAAATTGACTCCGGTGGTCGAGGTAGAGGTAGAGGGCGAGGACGAGGCCCCGATGGAGAAACTGAGAATGAACCTGATCAGGTAGCTACCGCCATCCAGCGAATGGCCGACCTGTTGGAACGAATGGCTAACCAACAGGGTCAGGGCCAGGGGAGTAATGTCGGAAACCCTGGAAATAATGCGGGTAATTGGGAGTAAGAGGACCGTGCCTTAGAACGGTTCCAAAAGTTTGCACCCCCGAAATTTATAGGTGGACCAAACCCTGACTTAGTGGAGGGTTGGCTGGACCGCATGTTGGATATATTTGCCGCGCTTGGGTATTCAGAGGTGTGGCTGATATCTTTTGCTGTTTTTCAATTTGAGGGGGCTGCCCGAATTTGGTGCAATGTGATTAAGGCCAAGTGGGAGCGGGAACAGACCTCCTGGACGTGGGTCAACTTTACATGAAAATTTAATGAGAAATATTTACCACCTATTGTACAAGAGAGGCGGGAGAATGACTTTATCCGCCTACGCCAAGGGGTATTCAGTGTGGCGGAGTACGAAACTCAGTTTTCGAAACTCTCTCGCTTTGCTCGGGATCTGGT